GAAAGGAAAGTAATGAGGCCTTATTATCAACTGCGTCACAAATTATAAATCGATTTAACAGTCTCTGTTTCATATCAAACTTGACTGTTGATTGTTGCTATGCAACATCCTAAATCCTCATTGGTCATTTTTCCCAAACACAAAATATTCTTATTGACTGTTTAAATGCCCATGAAAATAATCTAAAATACATAAAATAGAAAATAAAGAAAAATAACATTCTTCTTATTTATTTCATTCAATCATCTTTTAACACTGCAGGTAACCTGGGTTACACATACCAATCATTTATATACTCTTTAAAACATTTTTCTCCCTCCTTTGTCCTCCTCCTCCCCCTCCTTCATAAACTAACAGCTGATGACTTTGCCATGTTCTTCATTAATACAATTTAAACCATCAGTGCACAATTCTCCACACCACAATATGTCAAGCACATCTTACCAGCAAACATACACTTGTTCACATCCTTCTCTTCACTCTTTGAGACAGAAGTCTCCAAACTCATCCTTTCAAATAATCCAACTACTTGTCCACTTGATCCTATTCCATGTCATCTCCTTCAAGCCATTTCTCCTGCAGTTGTACCTGCACTCACTCACATCATTAACACATCCCTTCACACTGGTGTTTTTCCCTCAGCATTTAGACAGGCTCCTACAAACCACCTATTAAGAAACCCACCCTTAACCCATCTCTTTTCACACATCTAAATCTATACCTTTTGTTCTTTTAATATTTTGAATTGTTTTTAGCTTTTTTTTTTGTTTTCATTTAAATGTTTTAGTTTTGAAATGTTGTTGTATGCATTTGTCATTTTTATTTAATTTCTTTTATTTTCTTAAATGTGTATATATATAGTATTTATAGAGTTTTAGCTTTTAGTTTTAATTACTTTTTCTTATTTGTAAGTCGCTTTGGATAAAAGCGGCTGCTAAATGACTAAAAGTAAAAAAGTAAAGTAAAGTAAGTTTCCACCCACGGTGCCGTCATTTGATTTTGCAAGCGACAACGGTGTACCAGCTCTAATGCCATGGTGAAAGTTTGAGCAAAACATGCTAACTGTTCTGCCTTTGGCTGCACTGACGAGCACAGAACACTATTTAGATTCCCAGCCTCAGAGGAGACAA